AGCTGGAGGGGGTGCTGGAGGTGGAAAAGGGGGTGGTGAAGGTGGAGGATTTGGGGGAGGAGCTGGCGGTGGGGGTGGAAAAGGCGGTGGTGTTGGCGGAGGCGTAGGAGGAGGTGAAGGTGGTGGCAAAGGTGGTGGAGTTGGTGGTGGTGTTGGAGGTGGAAAAGGTGGTGGTGTTGGTGGAGGTGGAGGAGTTGGTGGTGGCGGTGGAGTTGGGGGAGGAGTCGGTGGTGGTTCTGGTGGGGGTGTTGGAGGTGGAAAAGGCGGTGGTGCTGCTGGAGGTGGAGGAGTTGGTGGTGGAGGTGGCAAAGGGGGAGGAATTGGTGGTGGCGGTGGAGTTGGTGGTGGAGTCGGCGGTGGTACTGGTGGGGGTGTTGGAGGTGGAAAAGGCGGTGGTGTAGGAGGTGGTGGAGGAGTCGGTGGAGTTGGGGGAGGAGTCGGTGGTGGTGCTGGAGGTGGAGTTGGTGGAGGAGCCGGTGGTGGTGGTGGAAAAGGTGGTGGCATTGGCGGAGGCATAGGAGGTGGTTTTGGTGGAGGTGCAGGAGGTGGAGTTGGAGGAGGAGCTGGTGGCGGTGGAGGCGCTGGAGGCGGAACAGGCGGTGGTATTGGTGGAGGCAATGGAGGTGGTGGTCTTGGTGGGGGAGCTGGTGGTGGGGGAGGTGGAACAGGCGGTGGTATTGGTGGAGGAAATGGAGGTGGTGGTCTTGGTGGGGGAGCAGGAGGTGGAGCTGGTGGTGGGGGAGGCGGAGGTCATGGTGGCGGCATATAATCTCATATCATCTCTCACGACCAATAACATGCAAGTAGTTTAGCATCTATGTAGTATGAATGCATGGGCATGCGTTTTAACTCCTGCATGTATCCATATTGCTAATAAATAAAGAGAATAATTCAAGTATTTGAAATATTGGTTGAATCAAAGGTTCCGTCATTTTTTTCCCTTCATACTGCAAGGATCTACAATATTTTATATTTGCTAGGTACGAGCCAAGAGTTAATGTTTGGGAGAAGGGGGAGTGGGGGGATGTAATGTACGAATAAAATTAAAAAAATAATCCACTAACAACATTCTAATCACTTATCTAACAATTAAAAAATATTATAACTAGTTAACAATTCGACACCAAATCAAGAATTCTAATAAACTCATACTCCAATATAAAATATAATTCAAGATGATAAAGGTCAAACGAAATACCTGCTTAGTGCTTATATAGTTCGTTGTTGAAAAAATGAACGAAGGAATTAGATGAATTATTAAACTTGATTTGATGCTTTAAAAACAAATCAATCAAGATATGAATGAAAAAAAAAACAAATCGATCAAATGCCTGTAAAAAAAGTATAACCATAAACATAACATAGCAAAAATCATCACAATATGTCATAAAAATTAAAATTGTAGCATAAAAATATAACCATAAATATAATATAAATAAAAAATCATCAAACACATTACACATAGCAAAAAATTAGCACATTAGGATATGAATGAAAAATAAAATAAAATAAGAAGTTATTTTGATATAAGTACTTAAAAGGCCACGATTACTAACAAATAATCGATAGAAACTAGTTGTTGGCTGAAAATGGGGTTCAAATTGAAGGAGTTGTTGACCGAAACTCTTCAAACTTCAGATGTTTTTCCTTGTTTGTGGTCGACAGCTCTTTGGTGAGATACTAGTTAGGGAAAAGAATAGAAAAATTAGGGATTAGGGTTATTCAAAGATTTGGGAATATTTGTCTTTCAAAATTCTCAATTGAGTCCGACGGGAATGGTGGAAAGAAGAAGAGATATTTGTTGTATAATTGGGAATGGGCTGTTGGGTATTAAAACAAATTTTTGGGCCAAGTATTAAAATTAGAAATTGATTTTACAACTTGGGGTGGGCTAGTTAATGGTTAGTGGGCTAATGGATTCAAATTAAAATATGAGAAAATTACCTAGAAACCTATATTTAAAGACTAATTTTTTTTATTTTTTTTAAAAAGAAGTTTAAATTTCATTTTAAAAATCATGTGATAATTATATTTAATAAAGGGCCCGTCTGGTAGAGATTATTACTCCACAAGAATTGATTTTCCAGTCACATCACAATGGCCCACTGTCAGGCAACAACGTGCATGACCTTGTAAAAATTTGCCAAAGTGACCATTTTGTCCTGGAGTTCATTATTTATCTTTCCTCATTTTGTCATGTAAATTGACCGAGAATTTTGCAGTCATTATGACATCCACTCAATTCCCAACCACAACAATGTGGTGCATGGGCCCACATAATTTGACTAAAAGCAAAAAAAAAAAAGAAAAAAAAAGACCATAATTTGACCAAAAGCAAAAAAAACATGACAAAAATTGAAACAAATTGATAATGCACAACAGAATCGCTCTCTTCCCCACCCCATTTACTAATTTTTGTGCAATATCTTTACGATTTAAATCGTGTAAAAAAATTTGTGCAATACCCTTAAGAAAAAAAGGAAAAAATTGATCTCATACTTAAAAAAATATATAAATAAGGAGGAAAAAAAATTTAGATCATTCGATATGTCTATAATATAGATCTCGAAATGAACTTCGAGAGAATATAAAAGATCTATGTATTTGACTATCGTACAATCGTCGATAAATTTTTAAAGTTAGCTTGTTATCGAAATTCTTAATTTTTTTAATGATGTTTCTAGATAAAAAAAATTTTAATTTATAAGGAAATTTTCTAAATGACGTCAAAATTTTTATTAGATTATTTAAAAAATTAATTGATC